GTGGAGGCGGGGCCAAGTGGCGGATGGGGCGGGGCTGCCGAGGGCCTATCGCCCGCTGCAGTTCCGCAGGCGGCCACCGGGGGCGCTACGGTGTCGTAAACCGGCCTCAGCCCCCAGCTTGCCTGTCGCCTCAGGGAGGGAAGGGGCCTGAAGAATGGGTGCTCTGTCCCCTCTCCGTCCTCGCCATCGCTTCCCAGAGCTCCCTCCTCGGTCCCTGCTGGGCTCTGAGAACCACCAGGGTTCCTTTCTTAGAAGCATTCATTCGTCCGTTCAATCAGCAGATACGATTAAGCACTGGGATGCAGCCATGCGCCAATAATCAAATCCCTGCCCTCCTGGAGCCGATCTTCCTGCAGGAGAGACAGACAAGAACCGAATAAATACATAATACAATGTCAAAACTAAATATAATACAATGCAAGTGTCATGAAGAAGTGGGGGAGAGGGAATTAAAGAGCGATGGTGGTGGGGAGGGGGCTGTTCTAGCAGCATGATCAGGGACAGTGTCTCTAAGGAGGTGGTATTTGAGGCCACACATGAAAGAGGTGAGAGAGGCAGCCTTCTGGTATCCAGGGGAACATTCAAGCAGGGGGACAGCAAATGTAAAGGTCCTGAGGTGGGAACAAACTTGGTGAGTTTGAGGAGCAACGAGGAGGCTGGTATGGCTGGAGAGGGGTGAGCAAAAGGGGCCTTGTGGGGAGATGAGGTCAGAAGAAGGTCAGGGAAGTCAGAAGAGGGCAGGCCACATGGGAACTTGTGGGCAGTGGGCAGGAGTTTGGAGTTGGCCTTGAGAGCGGGGGAGTAGCACCTGTCAGAGGAGACGTCCCCCCTTCCATGCTCTGTCCAGGATGTTCTAGATGTAGCCCATGAGTGCCTGGGAGCTACCAGGGAGCTTTCCCTGTGGGAAAGATGCCCTTTTCTTGACCACTTGGTCTCCTCTAAGATCTAGCTACTTCTTTGGCACTATCTGGGTTTGGGGTCACCTCTTCCCTGGGGTCTCCATGGGATAGGATAGGAGTAGTAGTCCAGTTTGCATTGCATGCTTCAGGGCTTATGCACTCGCTATTCCTTCTGCCTGGGACACTGTTCTCCCAGGTAGCTACCTGACTCTTCCTCTCTCCTTTTGCTCAAATGTCACCTCCTCCAAGAGGCCCACCTCGAACATCCACCTACCCACTGCCATTCTCTGAGCTCTTGATGTTATTTTTCTTCATAGCCTTTGTCACTATCTTTACACAATGTTTATTCACTCAAAGGTGCTCAACAAATATTTGCTGAATGAACCGATGGCTGGATTCCTCTCCTCCTCCCACAGAATCTTTTCTTTCTCAGACTGTGGGCCTCTTGTGCCAAGGGAAAGTCAGGGAAAACACTCTGTCCTAGCACCATCCCATACCCATCCTAGCCAACCGCGGCTCCTGGATGTGAAGCATCAGGAAAAACCCTCTTCATCTGTGCCTAAAATTCCACATTAAAAGGCACCGCCACTTGGGGTTAAGACGCTGTTTTCTCAGGCCCCTTTTAGAAAATATAAATGTCCCAGGTGGAGGGAAGTAACGGGAAATCTTAAGGATTCCAAGATAATAAATGAATTGGGTATTTTCTTCCTAAGGAAGATCCAGGTTGGGACTGGGCGACACCTAGTGGTTGAATAGGGTTTGTGCAGAGAGTGTGTGTGTGTGTGTGTGTGTGTGTGTGTGTGTCAGAGCCCCCTCCAGAATGAGGCATGTGAAGCACTGGCCTCTGGTGTGAAGTTGAAGGGGTGCCAGAAAGCTCCGAAACCAAGATAAATGGTATCCCAATGCAATATCTTAATAAAATAAAAATTAATTCCAAAAATCTATGATGTACAAAATATCAAAATTTTAAATAAAGACAGGATCAAACTCTGCACTTGCACAACTCACATCACTTGCCTCACTGTACCCCTGGCTCTATGGGCGTGTCTGTAATATCTATGTGTGTGTGTGTGTGTGTGTGTGTGTATGTGTGTGTTTAGGGATTGTGTACCTGGCATTGGCCAAGTGTGCCATAATCATGTCTGTGGGTGTGTACACACAGTGACTCTGTGTCCTTATGGGTCAATCATGTGGGTGTATGCGTGGATTTCTCATGAGCACAGCAGCTGGTGCAGGCAATGACTTTGTGCTTCCAGAATTCAGTGTCAGTGCTGTTTTCCCTATTTCACGCCTTGTGTGCTCATTTGGGAAGCATTCACTGGGAGCCTTCTGTGTGTTGAGCCTTAAACCAGACACCAAAGGCTGGGTGACAGTTTGAGCTCTCAAGGGGTAGGATGGAGGATTTCACTTCTGTGATGTTGGGTCTGGTTGTGCTGGGGAGAAGGGAGCTGTGACAGGAGCAGGAGACTTTGTTCCCACTTTTTGGGAACTCTTGTCTGAGAACATCAACATGTCTTCACGCCCAGAGTGGGAGCCTGGTCTGTGTTACCACCTCACCCCTCACAGAGCGAGGAGACACCAGATGGAGCAGAGAGGAGTCAGAATAGATACCATGAAGTCTGTGTAAAGCGGCTTATTTGCACTGGGAGCCCCAGTAGGCTCTCAGTGCCTGTTTACTGTACTTTACACACAGTTCTAACAATGCTGCGCAGGGAAGACAGGGAGTCACAGTGTGGGAGACAGAAACCAAAAGGCGAAGTCAGCCAACGCTGTTGAATGAAATGGCAGATAGCTCCTTACCTTTTAGGCTCTGAGAGAGCTCCAGTTATTCCCAAGAAAAACACACGGTGTGCACATGCTGAGCCAGGCTCTTTCTCTTCCCAGGTTCTCTAGTAATTCCTACATGAAAGACATCAAGTGGGGTGCTGGGGATATGAAGGCTGTGGCACAGCTCACTGTGGAGGGGCTCTCAGGGCCAAGTTGGGGAGCATGCAGCAGGCACATGGTACAATGTGCAAAATGTCAAGTCAGGCAGGCTTCCTGGAGGAGGTGGCATTTGAGTTGGGCCTTGAAGGATGAGTGAGTGAAGATTGGAGGGTGGACATTTCATGCAGAAGGAGGTCATTGGCCAAGCTAGCAAGACTTACAGCACATGGTGGGTCCTGAAAATGGGAATCAGGTGGAGTGGGGATGGTGCACATGGGGAACTGAGAAAGGTGGTGAGCTTGGAGAGGTAGGTTGTGATCTGGCTCTAAGGGACTTGAAGGCTGGTTAAGGGTTTTGCAATTTATTGAGCTGGCAATATAAGACCATAGAATGGGATGTGTGCGTGTGCATGCATGCCTCTGTGTGTTTTTAAACAGGTCATTTAAAAAATTTCAGCACAATATACATAAAGTTTACTATCTTATCCATTTTAAGAGTACAATTCAGTAGAATTCAGCGCATTCACGTTTCCGTGCAGCCACCACCACCATCCATCTCCAGGACTCTTTTCATGTTCACGAACTGAAGCTTTGTCCCCAATAAATGATAATTCCCATCTTCCCACCCCTACCCCCTCCCGGCCCCTGGCACACATTTTACTTTCTGTGTTTATGCATCTGACTCCTCTAGGGACCTCATATAAGCGGAACCATACAGTATTTTTCTCTTTGTAACTGCCATCCTTCACTTAGCATGATGCCCTCCAGGTTCACCCATGTTGTAAAAAGGAATTGCATTCATTTTTCGGGCTGAATCATATCCCATTGTATGTACACATCACACCGTGTTTACCCCTTCATCCTTTGGTATACACTTGGGTTGCTTCCACCTTTTGGCTACTGTGAGTAATGCTATGAACATGGGTGGACAAATATCTTCCAGCTCTTTTGAATATATATCAGAAGTGGGACTGCTGAGTTATATGATAATAATGGATTTAATTTTTATTTATTTATTTTAAACAAGAAGTTTAAACAAGATGCTTGACTTAAAGGGAAAATTATCTAGGATACATGTTTTGTTAATGCTCACCTGAGGATATTTTTCCATTGATTTTTAGAGAGAGAGGAAGGGAGGAGAGAGAAAGAAACATCTATGTGAGAGACACACACTGATTGGTTGCCTCTCACACATGCCCCAGCTGGAGCCGGGAATTGAACCCGAGACCCTTCGGTGGGTGCAAAGCCAACACTCTAACCACAGAGCCACACTGGCCAGGTTTAGGGCTCATTTCTTTTAAAGTAATTTATCCCTACTTAAAAGACAGATTACCCTACATGTAACAGCTATGTACAAAAAAGTTATAAAATTGTCCTTGGTTTTACAATGATAAATGAAAACATTAAAATTCTGCAATCAAACAAGGTTTGCAAGGATCTTTATGCTGTTCTTTTTTTGTTAAACAGTGAGAGCAAAATAACTTACTGGAATATAAAGATAAGAGCCAAATGAGTTTCTACTAACGGAGAAAGGGGGTATTTTCACAGAACCAGTACTTCCCCCCCTCCCATCCATTGGCCACTTAGCTTAAAAAGTGCAAATGCTGTGCACATACATCAGTTACTTTATGCACAATAAACGAATGGGGAAGGGGAAATGCAAGAGTAGAGAAAACTGTAGAAGTCAGGGCATTGTGGCACCAAGTGGCGGTTTTCTAATTGAGACTGTCCTCTTGGTCTGGAGGGACCGGGCCCGGGAGTAAAGGGGGCAGGTTCCCCGTCTAGCGGGCGCCTTGAGTCTGCTGCTGGAACGCAGCAGCTGTGTCCCCACCCTCCCTTTCCTACTGTGCACGCATGTGTTTCACCGATTGGCTGCCCCTCAAATTGGACTCTCACCTGCCTCACCCACAAACCCTGTCCTTCGCAATAGGCGTTCGTTAGTTTACTAAGTGGTGTATGCCTCTCAATCTTACCCTGCACCCCAGGACCATCCTGCCTGCCACCTTCACATGAACATGATCATTGTGCTCAGTCTGGATTCCTTCCTTGGTCTTTTCGTGGGCTCGCCCGGGAATCTCCTTCACAAAAGACGCAGCAGGCCCACGCCCAATGAGTACGCGAGCTGCACCGGGAGCCAGTCATGTATTTCAGTTTTTGAGGAACTTCCTTACTGTTTTCCACAGTGGCTGCCCCATTTCCCACTCTCACCAGCGGTGCACAAGGGTTCCACTTTCTCCACAACCTCACTAACACTTGTGATTACTCACTTTTGATTCTGGCCCATCCCATGGGGGTGAGGCGATCTCTCGTGGTGGCTTTGGTTTGCATTTCATTAAGGGTTAGTGCTGTGGAGCATCTTTTCATGCGTTTACAGGTCATTTGTACATCTTTGGAGAGAAATGTCTAGTTAAGTCCTTTGTCCATTTTTAAATTGGGTTGTTTGGGTTTTTGTTGTTGTTTAAAGAGGTTTTAGAGCCAGGAATGAGACATGATTGGATTTGTGCGAGGGACAGAACTTCTGGCTATAACATGGAAGACAGACTGGAGTGGGAAGAGTAAAGGCGTGAAGACAGAATTACTTCAGGAGCTGCGAGGGCCTGAGGCAGATTGGCACCAACCTGAGGCTCTTCGAGACTAACACTTGGGGTGGGGCACTGAGGGAGGGCCCTTCTCATTGTCTGCTGTCTGGAGTCCCCGACGAGGCTGCAGGCTCCTTCCCACTCCTCCTGGAATGCTGAACCAGGTGGGAAAGCACAGTTGACAGGAGCAAGACTGTGCTGAGAGGAGAGAAAAAAACAGATCTTCCTCGGGCGAAAAAAAGGAGACACATTTCAACACCATTTCCCAAAACTTGCTGCAACCAAGAATTTAAAGCCAGCCACAGGCTAGAAGGCTCACACCATTTGGATTTGGAGGGACCCAGAGCTGTGGATGCATGGGCATCAATTCATACCTTTTTTTTTATGTGTGAAATGAAATACTATGGGGGTCAAGATGGCCCAACTGACAGAGGCCACTTGGCTTACTGCAAAGGCCACTTAGTTTTGCTTGGTTTGCGTTTTCTAGCTTTTCTGCTGGAACTTATGTTTTATGCTTGATGCCTTAATTCATAATTTTGAGTCAATTTTCTTCTTGGCATAAAACCTGCACATTGTAAAGGTATGGCTTGATCCATTGTTTTGAAGTGACCTAGCTTTAGCAGCACCAGGTCAAGAAACAGAACTTTGCAAAAATCCAGAGGCCCCCCCCTCATGCTCCTTCCAGGTGCCTGCCCCCTCCCCCCAAGTAACCCGCCACTAAGCTGACATCTCTCATGACACGTTGGTTTGACCCACTTTTTACCTCAGTGAAGTCACTAAGTATGTAGCTTTTGGTGCCCGGTTTCTTCCACTCAGCATACTGTTTGTAAGATGCCTCCACATCATTGTTCTGGGAGAGATCACGTTTTCATCTCTTTATGGCGTCCCACTGTGAATGCACCGACGCGTCTGGTCTAGGCATCTGCATTGGTGGTTTGTGGCCGACACAAACAGCGCTGACAGAGACACTCTGCACGTCTGCGGTGGGTGTGAGGGTGTACACATTCTGTAGGTTCTCTTTACTCACAGCAGTGATGCTCTGTAAAGACCCGGCGGACACTGAATTAGCGAGTACTGAATCGTCGCAGGGTTAGATTCTTGCAAGCCTCTGGTCCCAACATATTTATGGACCAAACAATAGCAGCCTTGTTTTATATGTGTTTCTGTTTAACAACACCTTATTTAACATATATTGTGGGTTTATTAGTATCGAACTCACAGCCAAAGGCAGCATAACTCATACCTGAATGAAATTTGTAGGCCAGACGTTATTTCTCCTGAAGACACATCACAACTTTCCTGTGCTTAGAGACACTCGACAGCCCTTCAGCATTATGCGTGGGAGCCACTTAAATAGAGAAATCACCACTAAAAACCATGAAAACATGAACAGCTTGGCACTAAATGGACTGAAAAGGACATGTTTACAGTTAGGAGAGCTGACACGGGAAGGCAGAGGATGGCTGTGTTGAACCTCAGCTGGGAGCCTGTGTGTGGGTGACCAAAATTCTGCCACTCTGCGTGCATATCCACGAATGACCACAAAAGCACTGCGACTATTGATTTGGAGGTTACAAGTAAATTGTAATGAGTAGGGAAGCTTGTCAGAAAGGAATCTGCGAATAGTGAGCCTCGACTGTATATACCTAAGAGTAGGGTAGGGTTGCTGGGTCATGGTGGTGGGTATATTGAGATTTAGGAGATACTGCCAGACAGCCTTCCAAAGTTCCGAAGGCTCTTCAAAGAGTTTACCAATGTACTCTTCCACTGGTACTGCCTGAGAGCTCCAGTTCCACACTGTTGCCAACACCTGGTGGTGTCTTTTTCATCTCAGACATTCTCATGAGTGTGTAGTGATATCACATTGTGGGTTTAATTTGTAGTTCCTGGTGACTAAAAGTTCGAACTACCTTTTCATATGTTTATTGACCACTCAGGCATTTGTGAAATGCCTATTCAAGTCTTTTGCCCATTTCTCTATTAGGCTGTCTGCCTTTTTCTTATTGATTTGTAGGAATATCTCTATCTACCTATACATATTTTATATAAGTATAAAGTCAGGATATGAGTTCCTTATCGGACATAAAGATTGCAAATACCTCCTGTTACTCTGTGGCTTGTCGTTTCATTTTCTTCATGGTATCTTTGATCAATAAAATTTTAATGTAGTTTAAATAAGTTTTTTCCTTCAAGGTTAGTGCTTTGTACTGTCCTGTTTTAGTGACCTTTGCCTACCCCAGAGTAATGAAGATATCCTTCTATATTTCCTTCTAAAAGCTTTATTGTTTACCTTTCACCTTTAGAATGCACATTCTACCTGGAATTGATTTTTGTATGTGATGCGAGGTAGGGATCAGCATTATTTATTTCCCTATGAATAGGTCCGATTGACTCAGCACCATGTAGTCTGTCTGTCTGGGATAGGACCCTGGGGGGGCCTTTGAGAAAGTTTCTTAGCATCTCTGTGCCTCTCTTTCCTCATTTTAATTATAATCCTATCTACTTCATAGTGGTATTCTGAGGGTTAAATGAGTTATCACATGTATATCACTGCAAATGGTGCCTAATATGTGATAAGTATTTAATAAACCTTAGCAATTATTGTTCTGACAATAACTTTCTGACAGTTATGAATGTTTTTCCTCCTGTGAATTTTCAGGGGAAAAACATTACTTTCCATGGCTCCCAGCCTCAGTGTACTCAGGCTGCTGTAACAGAACACCACAGACTGGGTGGTTTATAAACAACACATTAATATCACACATACACACACAAAGAAAAGATCTATATCTCACAGTCTGGAGGCTGAGAAGTCCAAGATCAAGGTGCTAGCAGATGTGGTGCCTGGTGAGAGCCCATTTCCTGGTTCATAGGAAGTGTCTGCTTGCTGTGTCCTCACATGGTGGAGGGGGTGAGGGAGCTCTCTGGGGTCTCTTTTATAAGGGCACAGCTCCCATTCATGAGGGCTCCACACTCATAACCTAATCACCTCTCAAACACCCCACAACCTAATACCGTTACCTTGGGGTTAGGGCTTCAACATGAATTTTGGGAGAACACAAACATTCGATCGACAGCACTCCCAAGCACCATACTTACAGTGATGATGGTGATGGAGAGGAGGACACACTTCTGGGGATATTTCTGTATCAAAATCAGACGGCATTGGTGCTGGCTTGGATGGAGGAGTAGGGGAAGAGAGAACAAGGGGGTAAAAGGGAGCAAGTTCTATAGTTTCTAACTGTTGATACACCTGGGTTATGTTCCTGGGAAGCAAGGAACATAGGCCGCAAAAATCAAGCAAGAACTCATTCTCATGTCAGTGCAAGTACAGGGCACCTCAGGGAAGGGGGCTTGCAGGGGACGTTTAAGAATGTTCCCCTTGCCTTGCCGGGTGTGGCTCAGTGGTTGAGCATCGACCTAGGATCCAGGCGATGGGGGTTTGATTCCCGGTCAGGGCACGTGCCTGGGTTGTGGGCTCGATCAATGACTCTCTCGTTGTTGATGTTTCTATCTCTCTCTCTCCCTCTCCTTTCCTCTCTCTGAAATCAATAAAGATATATTAAAAAAAAAAAAAAGAATGTTCCCCTTGCCCTGGTCGGTTTTGCTTAGTGGTTAGAGCAGCGGCCTGTGGACTGAAGGGTTGCAGTTTGATCCCCGGTCAAGCGCATGTACTTTGGTTGCAGGTTGCACTGGGGTGCATGCAGGAGGCAACCAACCAACCAATGCATCTCTCTCACGTCGATGTCTCTCTCTCTCCCCCTCCCTCCCCCCTTCCACTCTCTCTAAGAAAATCAATGGAAAAAATATCCTTGGGTGAGGATTAAAAACAATGTTCCCCTCATTTTTAAAAAAACATGTTTTTATTAATTTCAGAGAGAGGAAGGGAGAGGGAGAGAAAAACATTAATGATGAGACAGTCATTGATTGGCTGCCTCCTGCACGCCCCCTGCTGGGGATGGAGCCCACAACCAGGGTGTGTGCCCTGACTGGGAATTGAGCTGCAATCTCCTGGATCATAAGTTGATGCTCAACCACTGAACCACACCGGCTTAGCTGTTCCCTTCCTTTAACAATTTTATTTAGGTATAATTTACATACCATAAAATCCACCTGTTTAAGTGTGCAATTCAATGGCTTTCAGTAAATTTACAGAGTTGTGCAAACATCACCTCCATCCAGTTTTAGGACATTTCTATCACCCCCCCAAAAGATCCCTCATGCCCATTTGCAGTCAGTCCATCCTCACTCCCACCTGAGATTATGAAATTGCCTGAAATTAGTGATTGTCTGGCTTCTTTCACTTAGCGAAATATTTTTCAGGCTTACGTATGTTGTAGAATGTATCTGTAGTTTGTTTCTTTTTATTGCTGAATGGCATTTCATCATATGGGTGGGCCAGTTTTATCCATTTACCAGTTGATGGGCATTTGGATGGTTTCCTTCATTATGAAAAATGCTGCTCTGAGTATTCATAGACAAGCCTTTTCATGGACATGTTTTGATTTCTCTTGGGCAGATGGACTTGTTGGGTCTTATGGTAAATTTCTGTTTAACTTTTTAAAGAAACTGCTAAATTGTTTCTTAAAGTGGTTGTAACATTTTATATTCCCACTTGCAGTGGGTTCTGGTTTCGCCACATCATCACCAATACTTGGTATTGTATTTTTAAAAAATCCTTACCCAAGGATATGTTTTTATTATTGATTTTAGAGAGAGAGGAAGGGGGAGAGAAAGAGTGGGGAGAGAGGGGGAGAGAGAGGATTACTGATGTGAGAAAGAAACATCAATTGGTTGCCTCCCATATGTGCCCCAACTGGGGATCAAACTCGCAACCTTTCAGTATGTGGATGATGCTTCAACCAACTGAGCCGCTGTTCTGGTGGGTGCAACGTGCTATTAGTCCGACTGTGAAACACACAAGTGGAGATGTCCACGAAGCAGATGGGCATAGGGGTCTGAGTTCCAGGAGGAGATCTGGGCTGTAGATATACCTTTGGGAGGCCTCAGCTGTAGATTCACTTAGTCAATCAATCAACAATTTCTTGGGCACCTACTATGTGCCAATCACTGTCCTAAGTCTTGGGAGGTAGCTGTGAAAAATACAGACATGTAGGTATGTAGGTACCCTTGTGAAATTGCAAGTCTAGTGGAAGAGACAGACCATAAACAACTAAAAGTATAATGTCACATGCTGTTCAAAAAAATAGAGCGGG